AAAAAAAATACCTTTACTAATTACTTCAGCACTAGAAACTCCTTTCTTTTCGGGAGAGTGGAATCTAAGCCTTTAAATTTGAGAATTCTAGAAATCTATACAGTTAACTGATTAACCTCTGTATGCTTTGTTCACATTGCTCACTTTCTACACAATGTTCTTTTTCTTTGGAAAATATGTAGGTCCTATAGATATGATGCTTTTGAATCAAAAAGAGTGATGTCTCTGCCAGCATTCTGCATCCTCCTGGACTCCCTACTCTCAGCTGTCAATTCATTAGAGTTTTCACAAGAGGGAAAATAATTTGCTCTAACAATGGAAACATAATTTTTAATTATTGGGTGAATTGGAGATTATATGAACTTCTTTTAATCTGGAGAGGAAATTTTTTTAAAGTACCTATTCAATAGAAAAAAAACAAATTCCCATAGTTGCCCTGAGCTTTCCATGAGCCAGGCCTTCTCCAGGGGAGGACAGTCATCATTGTATTTGTTTATTACAGCCTTGTGTTAATTTGCATGAGTCTTAAATTGCAAGATCTTCCTTTCAATCAAGCCACAAGTCTTAACGTTTGCCTCCATTTAGGGCAGGGTGCCAAAGAGGTAGACGAGTCCCCACCTGCCCACCCAGATCCATTTTCTGTGCCTCCTGCAGTCAGGTAACTGGTGAGATTGAGATGGAGCAGTCACATGGGATAACTTGAGGGACATTTAATATAGGGGCTTTCTACAAAATGTGGGCAGTGTGGAGAGAAACCCAAATAATAGAATAATATCTCAAAATGATAAAAGCAGAAGCAAATCAGAATCCTCTGAGCCTGAAAAGGCAAGAGAAAGAGTGATTCCTCAGACATGCAGAGAAGAGAGTCACGCAGAGAGATTCACTCTGACAGGAATTGTGACCCTTGGCCAAGGGACCCACCAGCCCTTGGCAACAGCACAGGGAAGAAACTGAGAGAATAAATAATTTGCCCTTTCTTCTCTCTTCCAGTCTCCTAATGAGTGTCCTGTTGTTTGAAACTTATTGGAAGCCAGAGAACAAGGATGTCTGTTAATGAAATCCGTGTAAAGATTCGTCCCCAGGGACACCATAGACTAGAGAAGGCTGGAGATGTTACTAAAAACTGGTCCTTGTCGCTGAAGTCAAATCACAAAGTTTAATGACAAGGTTTAGAGGAAAGCAAAGGAATGGTTTATTAACTTGCCAGCAAATGAGGAAATGGCGGGCTGGTGCCTTGGAGAACTGCTACCCCTGCGGCACAAGCAGTTAGTGATTTTCAGGGGTAACTGGTAGGAAAGAGGCGGTGGTGTTCTGACCGCAGACATAAAGTAGCAACTTGGCAAGGGTCCGCGCAGACACTCTTGGGCTAATTCAATTGTTTTTTGTTTTTCTTTTTGGTTCCTTCTCAGTACCCTGGGATGGGATGTCTTGAGTTGTGCAAAATCAGTTTTCTGGGTTGTCTCTGATCTTGAGGCTCAGAAAGCAGGGAGAAAAAAAAGAAACCGTCACTGTTAACAGTTACAAGCTGTTGGGGGCTACTTGAGTTCATTTTCAGGCTGTTACTGTTAAATTGTAAATGCAGGGATCTAGTTTAGTTTTCCTCTGTTACAGAGAGGCAGGTGAAAGAGAGTGAGCACAGCCCCCTCTGCCCTGCTCTGTACCCTGGGAGGCTGACTGTGTGGACTGCATTGTCTATGCTCCCTTGTTCTTATCCTTCTAGCAAGGTTCAGCCAATGAAATTGGAAGTCGGGAGGAGAGAGAAGTCAGAGTTCACCCTCCCTTTTTCTTCTCAGTCTAGGCATTAGGTGACTTCCTTTATCTAAAGCCTAAACTCCTACTATGCAGCTCTTTACTTCCTTAGCTGCAGCTCTTACTGCAATAGTAGCACTGTTCCTGGCTCTTGCCTCTTAAGGCTTAGGGGAAATAATAGCTTCCTTCTGTCTTTGGTTCCCGGGGGTGTCAACACCCCTTTTGGTTACTTCATTAATCATCCTTCAGACCTAAGTCTTCCTATTTTAAGGCTGCCTTCTGTTTTCTTCTGGGGACCCAAGTGATACAGTACTGCACAAAAGTATGCACAAACCATCAGCATGCCCAGAATGGCTGAGATCAGTGGAAACAGCACAGTGAACCCTAAGGATAGTCAGTTTTCTCTAGGTCAGTATGGGAAGATAATCCATTCACTACCCTTCCATAATAAAACTTAGAGTAGCAACGAGTTCTCCACTCCTAGAACTGTTCAGCTTTGGTAGGGATGCAGTAAAAGAGTTGTGAGCATCATTTGGGGAATGGGGAGGGTTAAATTCGATATATGGCCTCCATAATCTATTTCAGTCTTCAGTTTCATATTTTCTTATTCTTCACAATTATTTCAAAAGCCATGGCTCGGGGGTGTCTTATTTTGGGTTCCCTCAAAAGCAGATGCTGACATAAGGATCTGAATGCTAGTAGTTTATTTCAGGAGTTAATCTCAAGACTTAGTGTAAGAGAATGGAAAGCTGATCCAGGAAGGGAGGAAAGCCAATAAAGTATGCATTCATGGATGGGTTACTGGTCCAGGGGATGAGGGCTCCATCTCTTTGAGGACTCTGTACAAGACAGATGAAACATATTTCAAGATTTTTCCTCTGGAGGGTGAAGAAGCTAGTGTTTTCTAGCAACACCCACCTTTCCTTGTTAAGAAAAAGTCCTGGGATATTAACTTCCCAGCACCGTTAGTCTGCCCTCCCCCCCTCCCCCCAGCAAGGATCCTCAGGAGGAGAGAAGCAGGAAATATCTGTAGGTATGGAAACCATCCAGACGACTTCCAGAGTGGACCAAGGGGACATGGATGAGGCATCAGCAGCACCTGCTAAAGTAAGTTGGGACGACAATCCTCTCTCCTGTGTGTCTCCAGTTCCTTCTAAGGAGTTGGTACCCTTTATGTGAATGCAATAAAAAAGTGGACAATTGCCTCCTCTCTCTTATCTGGTTAGGCCTGGTTCCTAAAGAATTCAGGCTTAGTCATGTACATGTTCCCATTCAGATGCCTCATTCCTTCCTTCAATATAGGTTGCTTTATGTCATCTTTTCAAAAAGTTGTCAGCTATTTAATGGAGGTTAACAAATTAATACCAATGTTCATATGGAAAAAGAAACATACAAGGATAGAAAAACAATGAAAATGAAAAAATTAGGAGACTAGTCCTATCAGACACCAATACATACTATAAAGCCTCTATAATTAAAACATTGTTGAACTAAGACATGAGAAGATAAATAGGCCAATAGAATAGAGGAGAAAGACCAGAATTAGACCCAAATACATACAGAAATTTAACATGTGGCAATGATAGCATTTGAATCACTGGAGTGAAGATAAACCATTTAATAAATGGTACTGGGACACCTAGATAGCCTTTTGGAAAAATATATAATTACATCCATATCTCACACTGTACACAAGAATAAACTCCAAAGTCTTTCATTAGGAATGAAAATATAAAAAGTAAAATCACATACTGCACCAGTCATAAAAACAAAATTAGTAGTTTGGAGAAAGGAAGTATTGTGGTAGGAAAAATGTACACTGACACCAAACACCTGCCCTTAGAGGAGAAAATATAGTTCATTTGGAGTACCTATGAATTGGCTAAAAAAAAGTTAAAACCATGGAAGTACTAGAAGAAAACACAGGTGAATTCCTATTTAATCTTAGTATTGGGAAAACTTTCTAACAAAGACTCAAACTCCATAGATAATTGTCTTAGTCTGTTTGGCTGCTGTAACAAAAATACCATAGACTAGGTGGCTTAAACAGCATGTGTTTCTCACAGTTTTGGAGACTAGAAGTCTAAGACTAAGGCACCTACAGATTGAGTATCTCCTGAGAACCCACTTCATGATTCATAGGTGGCCATCTTCTCACATGGCAGAAGAGGCGCGAGAGCTCTGAAGGCACTTACCCCATTCATGACAGGAACATGATGTACTAATCCCACCATGAGGGCTCCACCCTAATCACCTCCCAGAGACCCCATATCCAGATACTATCACACTGGAGATTAAGTTTCAACATATAAATTGGGGGAGATATAAGCATTCAGTGTCTGGTAGTAATAGAAGAAAAGATTAAATAAATTAATACTGCAGTCACCTCTATGTGTTTGCATTCTTTTTTTATTCTCACTTTTATGAGTACTAATCATTAGCCTGTCAGTTGCAACTTTTTGTTAGTTATGTTATAATTAGGCAGAAAACCTGAGGCCAAGCATGGAGTTATATGTAAAAAAATAATCAACAAAGTCAAAAGACAATTGTCAAACTTGGAGAAAAGACATCACAGATTAATATCCCTAATATATAAAGAACTCTTAAAATTGAGGGACAAAGGTCCAGAAATATGATAGAAAATGGATAAAGACACAAGGTTTCTCTTCATCTACTTTTTCATTCTTATTACTTTCAATGTCCTTTACACACAAAATGCTTCAATCACTATTATCCATACCCAAAATGTGTCATCCACCTTCTCTCCTCCATACCCTCTGCCTGCAATAATGTTCTTTCTGTTGACCATTTTACAAAATTCTAGCCATCCCATCAGTTTCTTCACTTGTTCATTCAGTAAGCATTTGTTGAGTGCCTATTATAATGGCATAGAAATACAAAGATAAATGTATCATGGACCATTCCATCAAGATGCTCATTGCCTAGTGTATTAGTTCTTGAACATTTTGCCTACGCAATTCACATGATGCACTTCATGGATACATTGGATGCCTGCCCATGGGTATTTTCTGAATTTCTATAGGTTTTTACTTAGATTTTAAAAAACAGACTTTAATTGATTGCAATTCTCATTTCACATGCTGTGACTCCTCTTTTCTCATACAGTTTATTAATTTCAAAATTTCACCTTCTGTTTAAAGTCTTCCCTCTTTTCTTCAAATCCAGTAAATCAGTTTCTCCTCTGTTCTCCTGTGACAGCTCTTGTTTCTCTACTACGGCATTTACATTATTCTATGTTGCATTACAGCCATGGACATTTGTACAACGCTTTCTTCACACAGATACTGTTAAACACTTGCTCAATTGAATTGCGTTTAATTGACTCCTTGACCAAAAAAGGAAGTAAATATGAGTGGGGAAAGCTGACCTCTAAGCAGCTGGTGACCTGGCCTGTACCTAGGCAAAAGTGGAGAGGACTTTGAATCTTTCTAAAGGCATCACCCAACCAAACCGAGTGCTTCATTCTCCCAAGGTGGGAAAACAAGTTGCCTACTGAAGAGAACTGGAAACAGGAGCAAGACAGACCTTAGCTGCTGGCCAGGCAAAGTGAGTATGCTTGATTGAATGGTTTCTGTGGATAGTGGAAGGAAGGTGATAAGGTGTTTCTGCCAAAGGAGATTTATGATGAGTCTGGGTGTGAGATGGAGCCCATCGCAGAGTTTGTTGTACGTACCAGATTTTTTTGGGTCTGCTCCAAAAAAGAAAAAAGAAATTTTTAAAACCTGATCAGAATTCACAAGTAGTCTAGAAAACTGAGCAGATAAGACATCCAATGAATATATGTGCCCTGCACTAACAATGGAGTTTCCTTTGAGGTGGAGGATCTCCACTTAATATCTATATGACTCAGATCTCGGGGGATCCGTGTTCACTCTCCCAGCCTCAGTTACCTTTTCCAGAAATTAAGAGAATTGGACTCAGTATTCTTCAAGAGACTTTTCACCTCTGAAATGCTGAAGACAGTATTACTATATGCAAAGTACTATACCTAGTAGTGCATGCATGCTAAGCATTATGAGATATAAAAATGAAAAAGATACCCTTGCCCTCCATTAGCACTTAACCTCTTTGGGCCTTAGTTTTCTCATCTGTAAAGCTGGGGAGGTGTGAGGATAAGAGATGTGTTTGTAAAGCACTGACTGGCACTTTGTAAGTGTCCTATAACTGATATCTAATATTATTTCAAAAACGAGATTAATTAACTCATAAGGGGTAGAGATGCGCAAAAGAGCTGATGGAGACAAAAGTCCTTTTCAGTGTCAACATTAGTGCATATGTGAAGGGCAACTCTTTTGCCTTTATTTTTGAACAGCAGGAATTCAATGACTTCAGTAAACCCCACGGACAATCCTATGTTTGCGGCGCCGCCACACAATACATATCCTGTGATGCCAGGGGGCATGGCTCAGGTGCCCTTGTATCCAAGAAGCCAGGCCCAAGTCCAGCTGATTCCTGTGAACCCACCTGGTTTGATGCCGTCTATGATTGGGCAACCTGCACAGAAAGCCTTGAAAGAGGGCAAAACCTTAGGGGTAAGTGAGATTTCACTCTGCAGGCCAGTGGTCACACAGCTGGAGTTGGAGGAGTCGGGGGAGGCTTGGAAATACAGAAGCTCCAGACCCAGCCTGCAGGACTGGAGCTGACCCAGCCTTGCTGAACTCTGGTCCATTAGAAAGCTCAGCTGAGCAACATCACCAGGGCCTCGGTATGGGGCCTTGTATTTTCTGACTTAGACATTTCAAGAAAGAGGAAGAAAACCAACAAAAAAAAAGTGGTAAACTTAAATGCTGGTGTTATTGTCAGCATCCGTGTTGATCCATGTGGCCTCTGGAAGAAAGTGGGCCCAGGAAGCCATGAGGTGGACTGTAAACCCAGTGCACTTGAATGGGATCTGATCAACAGGAAAAAAAGAAAAAAAGCAAGTTAGACATCCAACATAATGAGAGTTCCCAACAGTTTCCCCCCCCCACCCCGAGGGGCTGTCCCCACTAGGACAAGGAGAGGCCCATTTCACTGCAGTGCCGTACAGTGACAAGCATGGATTCTCATCCAGACCGCCCAAGCGCACATCCTAGCTCCAGCCCCCCGTATTGTTCATGGAAGTGTCTATCCATTCAACCTATGTGGAGGGCGATTTGTATCTGCCAAATTTACAAAATACCCAATGATTTCATTCCTGAGACTTTGTCCTGCAGATACACCTATTTACATGAGAAATGTTATATGTATGAATTTATTTATTGCAGCATGGTTTGGGTAACAAAAGAATGGAAACAACCAAAATATCCATCAAAGTAATACTCTTTAAATCAATGTATTTTACATTCAAAGAATGAAATATAGAACTATAAAAAAAATCAAGAAGCTCTTTATGTAATGATGTGGACATATCCCAAGATATATCATTAATGGAAAAAATTAAGGGGCAGACACTGCATATAATTTGCTGTCATTTGTGCAAATTTAAGGAAATTATACATTTGTATTTGCTGCCATACCTGTGTATATTTGTATGTATAAATACCCTTTGTCCAAGAGTACATCTATAGTAGTTTCCTAGGGCTGCCATAACAAACTACCACAAAGTGGGTGACTTAGATCAACTGAAATTTATTGTCTCACAGTTCTGGAGGCCAGAAATGCATAATCATGGTATCCACAGAACCATGCTCCCTCCGAAGACGCTAGGAGAGGATCAGGTCTAGGTGTCTCTTCTAACTTCTGGTACATCCTTTGTTTGTGGCAACATAATTCCAATCTTGGCACACATGACTTTCTCCCATGTGCATGTATCTCTTCACATGACATTCTTTTTAAAAGGACAGCAGTCATATAGTATTAGGGACACTCCCTATGCCTATACACCTCATATTACCTAATTACATCTGCAGCAACCCTATTTCCAAATAAGGTCATGTTCTGAGATACCAGGGGTTAGAATTTCAATATATTAATCTGGTGGGTGAAAGGCAGATCACAATTCAATCCAAAACAATATCTTAAGAAATAAGAGATGAGCACAAAGATTTATCTACAAGGATGTTCATCTCATTATTGTTTATGATAGAAAAAGATAGAAACAGTCTTACCTGCCCAATATCTATGTTCTAACTACTCCACAGAACATTCACATGATGAAATCTGGGCAACCCTTAAAAAACATATTTGAAGAATACTTAATCCTTTGGGGATGTGTTCATGGTAAAATATTTTTTATCAAAGTATCATTGATAAACACTCTTATAAAGGTTTCACAAGAAAAATAATGTGGTTATTACATTCACCCTTATTATCGAGGCCCCCCCCATAACCCATTGCAGTCACTGTCCATCAATGTAGTAAGATGCCACAGAGTCTGTATTTGTCTTCTATGAGCTACACTGTCTTCCCTGTGACCCCACACACACCATGTGCACCAATCATGACACCCCACAATCCTCTTCTCCCTCCCCCACCCCTCCCCTTTGGTAACCACTAGACCCTTCTTGAAGTCTGTAAATCTGCCGCTATTTTGTTCCTTCGGTTTTGCTTCATTGTTACACTCCACAAATGAGGGAAATCATTTGATATTTGTCTTTGTCTTTCTCTGCCTTACTTATTTCACTGAGTATAATACCCTCTAGATCCATCCATGTTGTTGCAAATGATAGGATTTGTTTCTTTCTTATAGCTGAATAGTATTCCATTGTGTATGTACCACCTCTTCTTTATCCATTCATCTACTGATGGACCCTTAGGTTGCTTCCATATCTGGCTATTGTAAATAGTGCTGCGATAAACATAGGGGTGCATATGTCTTTTTGAATCTGAGAACTTGTTTTCTTTGGGTAAATTCCTAGGAGTGGAATTCCCAGGTCAAATGGTATTTCTATTTTAAGTTTTTTGAGGAACTTCCATATTGCTTTCCACAGTGGTTGAACTAGTTTACATTCCCACCAGCAGTGTAGGAGGGTTCCCCTTTCTCCACATCCTCACCAGCATTTGTTGTTCCTAGTCTTTTCTATGTTGGCCATCCTAACTGGTGTGAGGTGATATCTCTTTGTGGTTTTAATTTGCATTTCCCTGATAATTAGCAATGTGGAGCATCTTTTCCTGTGCCTGTTGGCCATCTGAATTTCCCTAGAGAAGTGTCTGTTCATATTCTCTGCCCTTTTTTAATAAGGTTATTTGTTTTTTGGGTGTTGAGGCATGTGAGTTCTTTATATATTTTGGGTGTTAACCCCTTGTCAGATATGTCATTTACAAATATATTCTCCCATACTACAGGATGCTTTTTGTTCTGTTGATGGTGTCCTTTGCTGTACAGAAGCTTTTTAGCTTGATGTAGTCCCATTTGTTCATTTTTTATTTTGTTTCCCTTGCCAGAGGAGATGTGTTCAGGAAAAAGTTGCTCATATTTATATTCAAGAGATTTTTGCCTATGTCTTCTTCTAAGAGTTTTATGGTTGTTCATGATAAAATATTAAGTTAGATATACAGAGCCATTTTGTATTACCAATGTATATGTTTGAAAAGAATAATATAAGGTTATACGCCAAAACGCAAGGGGATGTTTTCTCTGAGTGGAGGAATTTTATGGGAAGTTTTATTTCATTTTTATATTTTCCACATTACTATTTAGACCAGGAAAGCAAAGCATTCATTCAAATAAAAAGCAGGCACAAATGAGCAGGCAGGATCCAGCCTCAAAAGCAAAGGCTTCAGCTTCTATCTCCCCTGACAGGCTATCCAGATCATAATCGGCCTGATACACATTGGCTTTGGCTCCATCATGCCGATTCTCATCCCAGGGTACTATGTGTCCATCTCTTTCTTTGGAGGCTTTGTCTACTGGGGAGGCATCTGGGTAAGTAACATGAGTCACCCTGCAGGTGAGTTCCCAGTAAGTGCCAACATACTCAGGGCCCCTTTTCCCATTGTGTAGCTTGCACCCTGGAGAAGGTTCCACCAAGGCAGCAAGGGTGTGACTTCAGCTCAGCCTTTTTCCCCAAGCATATTGGTTTGTGTGGGCTGCCATGACAAATGCCACATACTGGATGGTTCCTATAGGGTTATTCTCCTGGGGACTCTCTCCTTGGCGTATAGATGGCCATTGTCTCCCTGTGTCTTCACGCAGTTCCTGTGTGTCTGTGTCCTAATCTCCTTTTATAAGAACACCAGGCATATTGGATTAGGGCCCACTCTAATAGTCTTACTTAACCATAATCACCTCTTTAAAGGCCTTACCTTCAATGACAGTCATATTCTACAGTAGTGGAAGTTAGTACCTCAAAAGGTAAATTTCGAGGAGAGACAATTGGGCCATGCCACCAGGTGACAGTCCTGTAAGGCACCACCCACACAGAGCAGGCACCTTTTCTGACCAGCCTCCCATAGAGGTGGGAACCTTGTTCTGGTTGAGCGACCCGGAGGTGGTACCTTTTTCTAAAGCACACAAAATCACCTGTGTGTAAAGAGGTGAACTGGGAGTGGCCATCCCGTGTTGTTTCCTCATAGCCCACTGCCTGAGCTCCCGGAGGAAACATTTCCACCAGTGGCTGCCCAGCCACAGACCAGACGCAAAGCAGTGGGGACCCAACCTAGAGTCCACAAGTAGACTTGGACTCCCCATTTTGGCAAAATATTTGGTATGATAGATGTGTATTTTTTTTTTCTGGAAAAGTCCATAGCTTTCATCAGATTTTTCAGAGTGATCCATAGAAGGTGGGAACCACTGGTCCTTTGTCTTCTCCAATTCATTGTCTTTAGGATTCTCGTGCATCGTCTCTAGCGTCCTCCCCTGTGCACACCCCCACCACACACACACTCAGTCCCTCCTCCGCTCCCTACCCATCCACTTCCTTTTTCTCCCTGTGATACAGTCTATCCCTTGACTTGCACACCTATCTGTGATTCAAATACAATTTTTGTCACAAACAGGAAAACTCCAGACTAACCTAGATCTGAGCCAAAGTCACCCTATTCCATGAGATTTAAATACAACAGCCTAGACTTTTCCCCTCCCCTGTACCCCCACAAATCTGCAAAATGGCAGGGCTTGCATTCTTGGGAGCATCTTTCTCTGAGTATCTGCTCTCTCTTTGCCATCTGGGTCTCATCTTTGAGGCTGTGGTCTTCTCTCTGCTCTGTGCAGACCCAGCCTTGGCCTGCAGCCCCACCCGTCCCCGACAGCCTCTACACCTGCATCTGCATAACCAGCTTTAACGGAGTTTGGGGCAGTGGAGAAGGTCTAACACCACCGCCACAAAACAGCTTGTTATGGAGCCTTCGCTTCTACTGAGTATCTTTAAGTGCCCAGCAACAGCCCTGGCATCTCAGATGCCTCACTAGCCATCTCCCCTTCTGCAGGGTCGCTCAGCTCCTTTCAGCCCCCATGACTCCCCTCCCTTTTTTTTTTTTTGCTGTGCAGTTACATTCTTTGTTGCCTTCTTGACTCCAGAACTGTCTGTTTCCCCTTAGAAGGCATCAGCAGCCAGAGTAATTTTTCATTATGAAACCATTTCCTCTCCATGACACAGGCATCTATCTACCCTGAGCAGGCGTGAGTGTAGGGTGAGGGTTAAAAGCATGCAATCTGGAGGCAACTGATTTGATTGATTCCAAGCCCTGCTATTTACTGGATGATCTTGGGTGAGTAATTTAATATCTCTAAGCTTCAGTCTGCCCATCAGTAAAATGAGAGTGATAATAGTGCTGGATGGGCTGGGTAGGTGTCAAATAGGCAAGGTCAGTGCCCTCGTCCCCACAGATGCACTTCATGGAGCTCTCAGCAAAGCTTTTGCTGAAAATAGCTGATGCATCTCAGACTTCTGTTACCACACTGGGCAAGATGGCAGGTGATCCCACGTCCACTCTGCCTGTGGAATACCAGTGTTGAAATAAAATGCACGCAATCTACATCATTATCCTCAGACCTGATGTTCAGCATCATCACAGAGATGCGACTTTTTTCTAAGTAACTAAGAAGTACTCACCCAGAGGTGTAGACAGTCATGAACTGGTGGGATTATATCCAAAAACAGTGAAGATGTTGGTAACCCTTTCCTCCCTCCCTCCGGAACTCTCGTGCCTGACTGAATCCTGATATACAGGTGGGAAACCAACAAGACATGCAGGTGGGAAAATGAAAGGCAAGAAGAAAAGTTACATTTCTTGAGCCTCCACTATGTACAGGATCTACTGTGTACAAGAAATAACCAGGAGCAAGGCATAAATTGTCTCATGACAGTGGCACTTAGGAAGTTATGTAGTTTTCCCCATTTTTCAGATGAGGAAATGAAGACTTAGAGAAATAAATAACTTGCCCAGGATCTCATGAGTTTCAAGAAAGAATTTAAAACCAGGTTTGCTAGATCCTAAAATCTACATTTATCCCACTTCACTGCCCAGTCATGTGGTATAAGCAGCTCCATCTTCCTCTCTCCCTCCCTCCACCCTTTCTTCCATCCACCCACATTGAGCTGGTCCCAGCAGGGGCACCTAGGGTGTGTGAAAGAATATGGTGAATCATGGTCATGGGGCCTGGGATGAGGGCACTAACCTCTCTGCTCTTTCTAAACCCCTCTCTTCGGTGCCAGTTCATCGTTTCTGGATCCCTCTCCGTGGCAGCAGAAAAGTATCCAAGAAGTCTTTGCCTGGTAAGTCACATGCTGACATGAGCTCTCCCAGCTGTGGACCTATAGGAGAGGAACACAAGGGAGAAAAGAGTTAACACACATCCTTGTACCTACTTCTGACCAGCGCACTGACACAGGTGCTTGGTTGCTCACACTCAGGACCTCATGAACCTGGCCAGTCACAAGTAGGAAAGAATCCAGAGGATTCAGTGGAGGAAAGGGCAACACAGCTAACTTACCTAAGGCATCAGAGTATGGAGACAGAGAATTAGCTTCCTAAAAGGCTCTTACAGGAAGAAGCACAAAGCTCCCAGGGCCCAGGGCTCCCCTCCAGCAGAGCAGGAGGCTGAGAGATGCCTGCAGCACGCAAAGCAGGCCTCCAGCCCTTTCTGCAGGACAGCCAGCGGAGGCGCTGACACCTGCTTCCCTGAGGAATCCAGCTAAGCAGCTCTGCAAACCAACATGGACGGGGCTTTGGAATCCCCAACAATGGGCCTAGGAAGTACGTTTGTTTTCTCTCACAAGCAGGTTGTCTAGGATAAGGGTTCTCAGGATGGCCAGGTCCCTATACCAGATGAGATCTATTTGCAAATCTCCAGAGAGGAGCTCAAAATTCTGGGCATGTCTTTCTGCGCATAGCCCAGAATCATAGAGTGGCATTGGGGCCAAACTTCCTGCCTATAGGAAAAAATGCATCAGGTGTTTTCCAAAGATTATTCTTGGAGATAGTTGTTCCACGAGGTACTCTGTGAACATGGTTATGATGTAAACTTGGAAAAATCTCTATTTAGTCTGTAATCCCTGTTAAAGGGTCTGAGAAGTCCTGCAGTAAAGACCTGTTTAACTTTGCACAACCCAGTATTTTTCCAACGTTAATTTACCTCCACACCTTTTTGCACAGAAAACCTCTTGCTACAGACCTAGGGTTCCAGGGCTTCACATTAAGAAGCACTTGTTCATCTCAGCTCCAATAGTTTTCCTCGCCCCACCCCCACCCCACCCCTCTGTGTCTTCTTCAGGTGAATGTCGACTTGGGCTTCAACATCACCAGTGCTGTCTTCTCTGTGATTGGAATCATGCTCTACATCACAGATTTAAGTATCAACATCATCTGTCTCTACAGTGCCTACTGTATTCATAGTTACTGGATTTTTGTGAGTATCCTTCTCGGCCAGCACTCCTCTGGGTTCCAGCATAGCTATGTTTAGAAAAATGTTGGAAAAGGGCTGACAAACAAGCTTTTTCACCAAGCACTGTAGGAAAAGGAGATGCTGTCAGAATCGAAACAGTTAGTTCAAAGTCCCTGGCCTGTAGCCTTATTGCTGTGTCACTTTAAGCACATGACTCCTCTTAGTTTCTGCCTTTGTAAAACAGTACTATCTTATGACATCGTTGGAAGAATTAAAGGCAACTAATCATGTAATGGATTTATATGTACCCACCAACCTGCAACTCTACTCATATTTTTGCCTTCCTGCCTATTACTGCAAATAAGGGGGCACAAAAGTTTCTTGTAAAGGGACAAAGGGTAAATATTTAAGGCTTTGTAGGCCATGCAGGCTTGGCTGCAAATACTCAACACTGCCCTAGTGCAAAAGCAGCCATAGAAAATGCATAAATGAATGAGCATAGCTGTATTCGGATAAAACTTTTATAGACAAAAAGAGTCAGCAGGCAGGATTTGGCCCCCATAATGTAATTTGCCAACCCGTGCTATAGACTGTTCTATAGAAATGTAATATGAGCCATGCATGTGATTTTGTTTTCTATTTGCCACCTTAAAAAAGGAAAAAAAAGAAACACTGCTCATTTTACTCAAAACAAAACCAAAAGGAACCTCCTGACAGTGGCCAACAGACACCGGCCTTCTGGTGTCCTCTGACCCCAGACTCTACTACCCACCATCTGGCTCTCCCCACTTGAGCCACACTAACCTCCTTGGTGTTTCCTCACACACGAGGCACATTTCCATTTTCAGGCCTGAATGTTCCCTCCTCTGGGACCACCCTTCCCTCAGCTGTCCCCACAGCACCCTCCTGCCCTCTGCAGCTGCAGGTTGCTGCTCAGTAATCACCTTCTCCAGGAGGCCCACTGCACAGCCACCCATGACATCCTAGGACCCCACTTCTCTGTAGCCATAAACATCTCCTAATAAGCCATACAATTCACATGCTTGCTGTCGGACTCCTGCCACCAGAATGCAAGCTCCATAAAGGCAGGGATGTCATTCTGTTCCCTGCATTGCTATGTCTCGGATACCTAGGACCATGCCTGGCACATATTTGACACTTCATAAACATTTGTCAAATGAACAAGTGAACGTCCCAGGTATATCCTATACTCACTCGATAAATGGTAGCCATTGACTGTCAACTTGTACGCCATCAGAGCATCCTTCCCAGGATGTTTTTCTCTCCAGTATTCCCAAGAAAAGCCTCCCCAGAGAACCTTTCAACCTATCTACCTTGAGTTCCTTGCCTCCCAGAAATATATTATGCTTTCGAGTGCTTTAGTATTAAAGTCCAAATTCCTCAGCCAGGTATTTGTTGCTCCCCAGAGGCTCTGCTCCGCCTTGTGCCACGGCACCCTGCTGCCAACCGGACAAAGCATCTGCCTCTGGAGACTGAGGTCTCCAGGCTTTTACTGCTTAGCGAGTAACCTAGCAACTCTCTGGGGCCCCGCCCCTCCTGGCACAGCCAGCATCCCTAGGAGAGCAAGGCCTGCCATCTGGACATTCTTTGTTACCAAGGAGATGCCCTGGGTTGCCCACCCCTGGAATCTCTGACCTTGGCACACCAGACGTATTTTGCTTCCCCTTTTGCTTGGTAGGAATAAAGAGGGAGGCTGGGAACTATGCATTTTCAAGATAACATAGAACGGAGGCACTCAGGGTGTGCTCATACCAACCAGCCAGCCAACACTACCCAACACCCCCGCCTCCTCACTGTCCTTCATATCCCTCGGGAGTCCTGAACTCCAGCCGCTCCCAATCAGCGGGAGAGGCAGGCACTCAGCAATACTTAGGTCTTTTCCTACTGGGAAAGAACCAGCCAAGGAGGCAGGGACCTCCCAGTGTAAGAAATGAGGATGCAGACGCTGGTTGGGGAGCTCATGGAGAGGAGGGGGAAGAGGTTTGGGAAAGTCTAAATCAGGCAGCACAGCCAGTGCCTTGGGGTGGAGAGAGCTGGTCTTCTCTCAGTCCTGCCACCATCTGACCTTAGAAAGATGGTGATGACCTCAGAACAACATGATGACCCAAGGGATGCAGTGTTCTGGAAGCTCAACAAGCATGAATTAACGCCCTTCAAATAATGACAATCTACGCTGCTTGAGGGACCCCTTTCCCATGGGACCCCTTCTCCTACCCCCACCCTCTTTAAGTCTTCCGGTAAGAATTCATCTCTTCTCAGTGCCCCAAGGCACTTTCTTTTGGCTCTGTTACAGCTCTTACCGTGTCTGATGTGAATTACAATTATCTACATCTGCATCTGTTCCCCACACTAGACTGTGCCTCTCAGGGTGCTTTAACGCAGCTGCTGGTACCAAACAGCTCTTTGATAAATGCTTGCTGAACGGAGAGGGAGGAGGGGGGAAAGCACTAAGGCGAGGCCTCTCACAAGAGAATTCCCAGGGCGGCTGGGATCAGCAATGCCATTTTAAAACTTAGAATTCACCAGCATTTATTTGGCACCTACCATGTGTCATGCACATTTACTTTCATATTTATTATTTCATGTAATTGTAATCCACATAGCCATCCGATCATTTGTCCCTTATCCTTTAAGGCTAAAATGGATTCCACCAAACTCTCTCCCCAGATACTGTGGGAGACCCCATACTCCTGGGTGTTCCTGAAGAACAGCAAGGGGAGGGTGTAGATTCCTCCTGGTCCTTAGATGAGGTCTGCTGCTGCTGAGTTGTTTGGGAATCCTTTCACTGACCCTTTTCCCCAAGCTTAAGACTGCCCCCAATCACCTCCTACCACACAATGCTACTGTCACAAGCCAAGAAGTTTGTCTCAGTAGCTGATTTTCTCTAAAGATTCAGAGGGATGGTGGAGACTTACATCAGAGCCCTGGGAACCACTGATTCCCGAAGATCAGACACCCTTATGTTGTAAAGCCTTTATTGCCCACAGGAAGGCTCCACCTTCCCACCTTCCGGCAATCACTGACAATAAAAATGTAATGTGGGGTATGTAATACTCTGGTTATAGATCAGCCCTTCATCTATCTGTGTTATAAACTGAGATGTTAGTACCTTGGACGCCCCACATGGAGAAGCCTGTCCTGTTAGGACCGTTCTTGGAGGGATGGCTGGGGAGAGAAAGTCCCATCCTGCTCCTCCGACCATCTCACTTTCCTCTCTGTGACACGTCCATTCTCCTAAATTTCTATCCACTTCCTACACAAAAGTCCCACTGTTTCAATATAACTCCAGACCCCACCTCACGTCTCATCCCCTATATCTGAGGCAAGTTACAGTTTCCCTAAATAATTGCCTGCCCTTTCCCTTAGGGGGGCACCAGTAGGAAGTACTGAAATAACAATTAGTTTACAAACAGCCTTGGACCCTCACAAAAACCCAGTGAGATATTTTCTGCACAAGGCTGAGATGAGGTTAGGAGACTTCCTCAAAGCCAGAGATGGTCCACTGTAGGGCCACACCTGAGACTCCCAGACCAGCACTCATGACATTCCCATCCCCTCTGTTTCCAGAGCCCTGGATTGGCACATTCCAGCCTGCTGCTCATCTTCTGTATCCTGGAGTTCTGTGTTGTGTGTGCATCTTGCCACTTTGCCTGCCAACTGGCCTGCTACCAACGGAATAACGTGAGTCCCGGGGGCTCCGCACGGGGGGTAAAGATGCCCCAAAGAGGAGGAAGCTAGAGGGCTCTTCCTGCCTCCCCTTCCCACCCGGGAGTGGGAGTCCCAGTGTCTGAAGGGCCCCGTGCACACCGCTCCTTCTTGCACCCTTACGAGTGCCCTTCCTGTGTGCCTATTTTCCAGACGGGCATGGTCTTCCCAAATGCCTACGTGGCAAACCCAGCAGTCATCCCAGGACCAGCGAACACACCAATGACTCATTCCAATGAGGCCCAGGGCTCCACATGAGCAAAGCCAATGGTTCTGGAAGCATCTTTCAGTGAGACCAAAAGAAGACCTCCCCTTTTGGGGCTTCTGAAACCCAGATTCTTCCTTCCCTGACAACCTAAACAAATGTTTCTTCCAACTGCATGTATCCTGGACTTCATTCAGTTCAGCCTGGAAAATCATTTACTAGAACTGAATGGGCCTTAGAAAAACAATAAAAATGTAATATGGGGCATATAATATTCTTCACCTATTTGTTGTGTAGTCTGAAATGTTAGTACATTGGGCTTCACAAATAGGAGAGCCCGTCCTGTCTGATACATTCCTGGGCGGCTGGATGCTGGATGCTGGATGGGGAGAGCAAGTCTGGCCCTCTCTCCACCTTCTTCATTATCTTTCACTGCCCCATCTGATTCCATACCTTCTCACTTTACAGAAGTCTGATCCTCAAATTCAGTCCTCCACTCTGTTCTCAGAGCCTCCTTCCTGACTTGCTTAACCTGCGAGTTAACTCAAACACTCCTGATGTGTCTCACCTCCTACTCTGTGGGTCATCCCAGAGAAAGCATCTTCTAACACACCTGTTACTTCTCTGGACAGATGGGGCTTTCCACCTGCCACCTGCCATCTGCCCTGCTGAAATCACCACGGGCTTGTAGGAAGAGTCCCTTTCCTATCCTACCACCTACCCTGTTAGTCCTGTGTGCTAGGCCCCTGATGACAGAGGAGCCCTTCAGCAACCTGCAGTGACAGCTCACTGCCTCCTGTGGGCAATAAAATGGGCTTTTCCACAAGCTTCCATCCGCATACCTCCACTGGCTCCCATGCTTTCCAGAGCAATGGAGCATAACAACTAAAAGAGGTGTAAGATCTGGAGATCTATGGCCCAGCCAGCTGTACCGGAAAGCACAGAGGGACAGTGGACAGAAAATTTCCCAAGGCCCCAGCCCAGCACAGAGCACAGGCAGGACTGGAACCAGAACTCCAGACGACGAGTCCAGGGCAACCTGCAGTAGCAGGGCACGGCGGGGAAAGCAGGGCACCTGAGATCAGAAAACACTGTCTCTACCTCCTGAGCTCCCAGCACTCTCCACTGGCTTCCTCCCCCGACTCCCTATCCAGTGACAATACTGCTCTCGCCAAGTCACCAGTTCCTTGCACAGTGCCAAGTTCAGTGGTTCTGTTCCCAGCCTTATCTCATTTGTGCTCTGCAGGATTCAACCCGACCAACCACGCTTCTTAAACATTATTCTGGCTCTGCTCCAGCTTGTCCACATGCCCTTGCCCTCCTCATCCTGTTTCTCACGTGTCTCACAAGGTGCTGCCCTGGGCCCTCGTCTCAGCCTATGTACTCCAGCCCTCTCCCAGGGACTTGCAGTTCAAATCTCGAGTGAGATTCTGAGATTTGAATGTGCCAGTCAGTGCACAAAAGTGCTGCAAATGTTTATACACTTTCCAGTCAAGCCCAGGGTCCCAGGACTCATTCTCCTCCAATTTGGGATTTCTTATGAAAGAGGCCATTCTGTTTCCTGCTTGCTACGCCTGCCCCCATCTCCTCTACCTGGCAAGTTCAAGAGCCACTCCCACAGAGAAGCTGTCTTAGGTTCCGATGGCCAGAAGTGTCTGATGCAAAGCAGATGTGTGGAGGGAACAGGGAAGACAATCACACAATGTGGCTGACTGGCAGTGATGACATTCAGGGTTTAACTTTGAGGATTTTTTTTAAATCTTGATTGAAGAAATTTCTGATTTTTGTATTGTGGTTGGAAAAAAATAAAACTGTGACTTTATGTTTCACAGTAGCTCATTCACACTTTCAGCATTACGGCCCCTCCCAACCTCCCTGAGAAGTCCAGGAGTTTACACTGGGTAAGTACATTCGGTCTTTGGAAGGTGCACTGTGTCAGTGGGTGTGCCACATGAAGGACAGGCACATGCTCCCCAGGCCCACCGCCCCAATGCCACGCTGTGACCATACTTCCCTGACTTCTTCCTCCCGGGACTTACTGCCCGCAGTGTGTACCATTCAGATGGACTCGACCTTGCTTGGCAGGCACAATGTCTTCAACCATTCCCGGCTTTTCTGCCAGGCTCAGGATAAGACTTGGCACATAGCAGCTGTTCACTAAAATGAAAAGTATCCTCTTATTTCCAGGAAAGGATCCCTTACATATCTCTTCCCTCAGGCATTCAGCGATATTATATTCAGCCTGTCATGCTACCTCCGCAGTGGTGAATGAAGCAGGTAGAGTTCCTGCCCTCCTAGGAATTCCATGCCAGAGTGTGAGACAGGCAAGTCACTTGGACTGCTAAGTGACAGGGAAACAACTAGTATGCTCATATAGACCTGACAGGGAAGGGGAGGAACTAGCACACAGACCATGCAGTAAAAACCATTCCAGGCAGGAAACAAACCTGTGCAAAGTAGCTCGAGGAGGAAAGAGCTTGGCGTGTTCAGAGAACTGTAAAGAAAGCCAGTGCAGCTGGAATGTAATGGCGGAGATGCAGAATGTCCCAAGAAGGGACTAGCAAAGCAGACAGGGGGTCCACATGAAGGGTTTGGATTTTTCTCCTAGGGCGAAAAGCCACTGGACAGCTTTCCATAGAACAGTGATGTAATCTGGTGTATGGCCTGAAAGCTCATTCTGCCTGCTTCATAGGGAAAGGACAGGAGGAGGAGGATGGCAGGAACCAGGGGGGCCAGGAGGAGATTTAGTGATAATCTAGGATGTGGGTTGGCAAACTAAGGCCTATGGACCAAATCCAGATTTTTGTAAATAAAGTTTTATTGGAACACAGCCACACCCATTTGTTTACATATTATCTGTGGCTGCTTTTGTGCTACAACAGCTGATTTGGTAGTGTGACAGAGGCCAGAAAGCCTGAGAAGCCTAAAAAATACCTGCTGTCTGGCCCTTCACAGAACAGTGGACCAACCTTGGAGATAAATGATGATGATGATAAAATAATTGACTTTTGTGTTCCAGAATCACGATGTTCCAAGATAGTCACTCACAGTGCCGAAGAATTGGCTGCGATCCACCTGCCTTCTCTTGTCCTAGGTAATCAGAGGGCCCTGGGGGAACCAATTAGGAAGGGGGCTGTGAGCATGAGAACATGTTTAGGAGATGTGCCCAGAGGTATGGATGCTCAATGCCATCTGTTGAAGCCAGGACCAGGTAGTGATGGAGAAGACAAAGAAGCAGATTTGGGACATGGTTTGGAGGTGAGATCCCCAGCACTCAAGAACTGTTGGGGGAACAGAAGAAGAAGGGGAAATTAAGGGCAATGCCAAGGTTTCTGGCTCAAGAAATTAGGTGAACAGCCATTTACTGAGATGTGTAAGGCTAAGTGAAAAAGGGTTTCAGGAGAAAAACCAGTATTTCAGCGATATTGCCCTCAAAAACTTGTAGAAGCATATCAGAAGTGGACAAGAACTTAATGAAAACTTCCATTTGATGCTTGAGTGTCTTGTATAATCATCCCGATATAGGAGGCTGTAGACATGCAGATTCTTTGGCCGAACTCCAGACCTACTCAGAAACTCTGAGGGTGGGGTCCCACAATCTACTTTTTTTTTAATTGAAGTATCATTGATATACAATCTTATATTGGTTTCAAGTACACACACAGTTGTTCAGGTTACCCATATGATTAAATTCTCACCCCTAGTGCCATTACTATCTGTCAAGATAGGAAGATATTACAGAATAATTGGCTATATTCTCCATGCTGTACTACCATCCCTGTGATCAACTAATAATATGGCTGAGAATTTTTGTGCCTTTTTATCCCCCTCACCCACCCGAACCCCTCCCCCATGGTAACCATCAGTCACTTCTCAGTGTCTATAAATCTACTGCTATTTTGTTCATTTTGTTTTGTTTTGTTCTTAAATTCCACAAATGAGTGAAATCATATGGTATTTGCCTTTCTTTGCCTGTATTATTTCACTGAGCATAATACCCTCTAGGTCCATCAATGTTGTCCCAAATAGCAGGATTTCTTTTTCTTATGGCTGAATAATATTCCATTGTGTATATGTTATCACACCTTCTTTATCCATTCATCTATTGATGGACACTTTGGGTGCTTCCATATCTTGGTTATTGTAAATAATGTGGCAATAACATAGGGGTGCATATATCTTTTCAAACCAGGGATTTTGTTTTCTTCCGGTAAATTCTTGGAAGTGGAATTACTGGGTCATATGGTATTTCTATTTTTAGTTTTTTGAGGAGCCTCCATAATGCTTTCCACAGTGGCCGCACCAATTTATATTCCTACCAACAGTGTAGGAGGGTTCCCGTTTCTCCACAACCTTGCCAGCACTTGTTATTTCTTGTCTTTTGTATAGTGGCCATTCTAACTGGTGCGAGGTGATCTCTCAATATGGTTTGATTTGCATTTCCCTGATGATGAGTGATGTGGAGCATCTTCTCATGTGCCTGTTGGCCATCTGTATTTCTTCTTTAGAAAAATGCCTGTTCAGATCCTCCACCCATTTTTTAATCAAGTTATTTGATTTTTTTGCTGTTCAGGCATATGAGTTCTTTTTATATGTTACATGTTCACCCCCAGTAGTCTGTTTTAACAAGGCTTCTGGGTGATTCTAATGCTTACTCAAATTTGAGAACCTTTGCTCAACAGTATCTTCTCAAATGATTGTTTCTTCTTTTTGAGCACCTAATATGCTGTATATTATGATGGTGCCTTCCAAGGCAGCCCACATGATCCTCAAAACAATTCTACAGAAAAGCTTTTCCAAAGAATGAATTATGTCTAAGTGAAGGTCTGATAAGATACTCTCCAAGGTATCACCTGGGTGATAAAGGATGGCCCCTCCCCTTTAGAGTTGAGCAATCAGATGCTGAAGTCCAGCTCCAGCGAGTCCAGGAGTCCCTGAAGGATGGACAGCGTCAGTGACTGACCGAATGACTGAGGACGCAGACACTAGCAAAAGCTGAGCCTGGCCTTTAATGAAAAATAGCAGTTTGCTTATATACTCTTTGATCACATAAAGTAAAGTGCAGATATTAATCATTCATTTGACATACAGCATGGTTACATGAGTTTGGAAAATGAGATTAAATCACTTGGCATGTCCTAGTGGTCTTCTTTTTCCTAAGTAAGCTTTGTTCCTAGTTATTGTGGTTGGAAAATCTTGCAAAGGTTAAGTAGGTGCCAGACTCTTGGTTTCTTTACAGATGACTATTTAAAGTTCGCTATTCTATTGTTTTTATGTAGGGCCCTCATTCTTTCCTAGCTATACTCCCATTCTTCATCTCCAGTAGGAAAGAAAGGGGCTCTAAAAGGACACAATGACCTTTTGGCAGGCAGGGACAAATTTTATGGAGTGTGCCTGGGACCCATTTTCAGTAAGACTTACGATGGAGATTTTTCTGATCTGGAGTTAGGTAATGCCCTGTTCTCATTTGTTTTATAGTTTGCCAGGCTGTTCTTTGGCAGGCTAGCCAAGAATATCATTTGTTCTCTGTACCCACCTGTCGCCATTAATCATTGAATATGTCATTTGGAAGCCATGTAGGGGCGGGGTAAGGAACCTCAACCCAGGTAAATTTTCCATATCTTTTTCCCCGTAAACTTGGGTCCAGTACTCATGGGGTCTCACTTTCCCATCATCAGGGGTAGTCTCAAGGGCAGTAGTGGTTTTTTCCAATTTCCTTTAGGGCCAGTACCTAAAATTTTCAGGGAGAATTGGATATGGCCTCTTCCCTGAAGGGGCAGCTTGAATTGAAACCGAAATAAGCAAGTGTATTAGGAGGGGCATTTTGAGCAGGAGGAATATCGGGGTTGCTCCTCTGGGAAGGCCGCTGTGCAGTCCCTGCCCTCCGG